ATATTTTCTCCCATTCTGTAGGTTGCCTTTTCACTCTGTTGATTGTTTTCTTTCTTGCACAGAAGTTTTTAAGTTTGATGTCCCATTTGTCTGGTCTTTCTTTTGTTTCCTGTACTATTGGGATTATATCCAAGAAATTAGTGTCAAATCCAATGTCATGTAGCTTTTCCTTATGTTTTCTCCTATGAATTTCACAGTTTCAGGTCTTATGTTTGGGTCTTAAATCCATTTTTCTAAGAGTCTCAGAGAAATTAGTGTGTTCTCGTTTATTCTTTCTTTCTTTTTTTTTTCCCCCCTTTTTTTTTTGTCTTTTTTTTTTTCGTGTCCGGCAACGGATTGCAACCCTCCGTGTCGTGCCCGTACGGGACCGGGACCAGCAACGGGATCGCAACCCTCGGTGTTGCCCCCGCACCTCGCTCAGACAGTGAGCGGAAACCGGTCTGTATGTGGGATCCGAACCCTCGGCAGGAGCGCCACCGCACTCTCAAGCGGTGCACTGTAGCAGTGTGCCATCGGGCCGGCCCAATATTCTTTCTTTTTTTTAAAAAAAGATTTTAATGTCTTCTAAAGAGAAAAATTGAACCATCAGTATTTAAGTTTATTGAAAAAACAATGCTGGATCCATATCACAGAGTGTTTCCCATTTTCTCAGGTTTTGTGTGTTTGCGTTATTTTTAAACTATCTGCTCTGACAAGTAAAGAAATGAAATTGATTCACCCTCTAGTCTCCTTCATTTCTTCCTTCCACCATCAAAGAAATATGTGTCTATAATTGTTAAGTGTACATACTGAGTTGCTTTTAAAAAAAATTTAAAGATACTGTCAAGTTGCTACTTCCTTCCTTCAGAATGTCATATACTAAAGAAATAAAAGTACATCTGTGTGTAATAAGAAGTAATAATAAAAACCAAATCTTGAGCACATTTCACATTTATTATAACATTAACAGTTCCAAATATAGTAAACAGGAAAATTTTGACTGACAATTTACTTCATGTGTTCTTTTAATTGGCTAAGTTTTAGAGTATTTATGGATTTTTGCAATTAATTGACTGACAGTTTAGGTGAAGTTTACATGTTTTAAGAGGTGTGCTAAAATGATTTAAAGTTAAAAAAAATCATTTTAATTAAAATAATTAAGGTAGTAAGTTTATTACTTGGGTTCTTTCTGAGTCTTCTATATAATATCATTTTACAAGAACTCACTGTGAAATATAAAAATTAAAAAAATACAAGTTTTTTTATAAATATAAAAAACGTACAAAAAGGGGACGGCCCGGTGGCGCACTGGATAGGGCGCCGCTTGGGAAGCGCGGCAGTGCTCCCGTCCGAGGGTTTGGATCCCACATGCAGACCGGCTCCCGCTCACTGGCTGAGTGGGGCGCGGGTGCAGCGCCGAGGCTTGCGGTCCCGTTGCTGGTCCCTGGTCCGGTGCGGGGGCAACACTGAGGGTTGCGATCCATTGCCGGACACGGAAAAAAGACAAAAGACAAAAAAAAAAAAGAAAACGTACAAAAATATATAAGAACATACAAGGTCAAGAAATAGAACTTTGCCAGCATTTCAAAAGCCCTCTCATCCAACCCCTCAAACGTTATTTCCCTCACTGCTGAAAATGTAACTATCCTAACTCTTAAAAGTTTTTTGCTTTTCTTTATACTTTTATCACCTAGCCATGCATCCCTAAAAACTAGTTTAGTTTTGCTTGCTTTTAAAAAAATTTACATAAATGGATTTGAACAATATATGTTCTTTTGTGTTTGGCTTCTTTTGTTTATTATGTTTGTGAATCAGCATTATATTCAGACACATTCCAAAAAATTTTAATTACATGGGGAAAGTGGAATAGGAAAGTGGAAAATAGTAAAGAGATTTAGGAGTTAAGATGCATGTTTTAATTCTGGCTTTGCCTCTAACCAGCAAAGATAGTTTTGGTCACTGGAACTCTTAGGATCTCCTTTTTCATTTCTCAATGACAGATGGGTTGAAATGATTTGTAGGATTCCTTCAGCTGTAAAATTGATGAAACTGGATAAATAAATGCTACACTAAGCTATTCTTAATTTTCTTCATTTCTGTTTTCATTAGGTTGTCTTGGAGACACCCAGTTTTGTTTTAGATTTCGACAGTCTTCTGGGAGGAGGGTGTCACTGCATTGTCTCCTGGATCAATTTGACAAAGATTTACCAGTTTACTTAAAGGTTGGAAATGTAGTCATAGAAAAATGTCCATGTGAGAGGAAAGTTTAGAATTCATTTGTTAGTTATCTCTGACAGCATTCAGAAATATTTTTCTTTTCTTTTGTTCCTATATTACATAGCTGGGTTTCCTAAGTTAGTCTTATTTGTAAGGATGCAGCATGTGAATGAAAGAAACTTTATAAAGCTACTGTTCTTGAAACATATTATAATGCCATTGTGAATTATAGAAATGGATTAGAATGTTGAGGTAAGGGCCGACCCCGTGGTTCACTCGGGAGAGTGTGGCGCTGGGAGCGCAGTGGCGCTCCCGCCGCGGGTTCGGATCCTATATAGGGATAGCCGGTGCGCTCACTGGCTGAGCGTGGTCACAAGAAAGGACAAAAAAAAAAAAGAATGTTGAGGTAATTTCTTTTTTCTTTTTTTGACTTTTTCAAAAACCTTATTGCTAATTCATACATAGTATACATATTTATGTGGTATTCTTGATAGTTTGATACATGTATACAGTGTGTAATGTTCAAATCAGGAGTACCTATCACCTCAAACATTTATCATTCTTTTGTGTTGGGAACATTCCATATCTTCTCTTTTAGCTATTTTGAAATATATAATAAATTATTGCGCACTGTATTCACCTTACTGTGCTGCTGAACACTAGAACTTATTCCTCATACCTAACCATATTTTTGTACCCATTAACCGACCTCTCCCTTCCCTCCTTCCCAGCAGAATGTTGACGTAATTTTCTTTCATTTGTTAATTTTATTATTTGTTTAGATGTGGGGGTAGGACAGTATTATACAGTTAAAATTATCCAGAGTTGAAGTAGTCATTTCCTATGGTAATCCCTACGTACTTTATGGTAGAAAATAGTTGTCTCTTTTTGATTTTTTAATGAGCTTTGTATTAGTTATTGTTTATTAAAACAATTTTAATAATTCAGATGATTTTAAAGTCTATAGGTTTTTCTTTTTGGTACTCCATGCTTACATCTCTAACTGCATGAGGACCATTTCCATCTGGATGTCATATCACCGCATCCAATATGAATTTGATGTCATTTGCCTGAAATCAGCTTTTATAATTTACCTTCCTGTTTCCACTAATGACAGGAATCCTTTCTCAGTTAGCAAACATAGTACCTTTGTAATGACTTTTAGGCCATTTTCTCCCATTGTGATCTATTGCTACCATTATTAACGTATTCTTCCAACTCATGATGATAATAGATATTATTTATTAGGGCTTTTTATGTTCTAGGCACCCTTTTAATATGCTTATATTATCTCCTTAAAACTCCCTACAGTGTTTCTAATAGAGTTCCTTTTGCAATTGAGGGAATTGAGAGTTACTGAGGATAAGAAATTTGCCCAAGGACATCATACCTCTTGTTTTTTCCAACACAATATATTTTCTACAGTGTTGCCAACTAAAGTGTACATATATACTACAAAAATAAATAAAACCTAAAATGACTACCAGTTAATGAATAAAGAGTTAATGATAATATTATTTCCTTGTCCTTACTTTTTGGACCTTCCTTTATCTTGCTAGTTTCCAACTTTATCTCCATTCTATACATATGCCATATTTTAGCCAAACTGAACTTCATGGTTTATCCGAGATAACTTGTATTTTTTTGTTTTTGTGTGTTATTTCTCAAACTCCTGGCCCTATAAATCTGGAGTGTCTTTGTCCATCCTTCAATGCTCAGTTCATAAACAGCTGCCTCCATGAAATCTTTCCTCTTTCCTCTTGGCCTTCCTTGTAATACT